ATCGTAATGAGGCGTGGAATTTGTTAAGGTATCTCGGCAGGCTACGGTCAATGTTTCTGTTAGTTATGGGGCAGCTATAATGATTTTTTATATTAAAGTGATAGAGGAGAGGCCGATTTCCAAAACCACAGTGGAGTCTACTCCCTCCGTCCTTAATCTTTCTCCCATTTCGATTGGGCACATTTATTAAGATAGTGAAATTGGTGTGGCGGAGAGTTGCTGTTGATTATCGATTCCGTCACCGGATTCCGGCTCAGGCAGTCCGGAGCTCGGTTTTCCGGTTGTCTCTTGTGCACACCTAGGTAAGGGAGCAACACATCACTCTAACCTCGCCAACACTCACACTAACCTCACTAAGAAGGATTCTCACCTCACAAAGAAGGATAATAGCTTCACTCACCAAGAGGAAGATGAAGGGGGAAACACTCTGAGTTTCACACACAGAACAAAGGGGTAGGGGGTGTGGTTATAACAGGGAAGTATTTTGGCTTTATTAGAAGAGCTCACAAGGACACTCAAATAATACACTGCACACACAACTCATCACTAGCTCAATAATGCGTTAGATTCAAATTCTAACGGGAGAGGCAAATATTGATAGACCAGATAGATAAATGGGTACAGTGTAGTGGGCTACTAGAAAGTGTTGACCATTATTAATATACAAAAAACGTTTGGGCCAACAATATATTAACAGTTGCGCAGAGGAGAAAGAAATGTGTAAGAATGTGTAAGAATGGTTATGAACTACAAATTCTTTGCTAAAAGGTGAAAGAGGAGATAATTTTGGGACGGAAGAAAAAGGAAAGTTTGAAGATAATTCAGGGATGGAGGGAGTAATTTTTTTAATAGATTATTGAAAAAGTGATTTGTATTAAAAATTGGTAGTGTTTGGGAATAGAAGTGATTTTAATTAAAATGTAAAAGTTGGAGTGTTTGATAAAAAAGTGATTGTGATGAAATATTTTTCTCAAATGTACAAAAATATCCCTTCCTAGCATATTCTTCTTCCTCGATACATCCGGCGGAATTGAGGCTTGACATTTAGGGTAAAGGGGCCGGTCCTTAACAATTTTACATTGCAGGGGCCAAAGTTTAAAATATCAACATATTTTTTACAGATTAAAAGTATTTATGTATAATATATACTTAAGAATTTTTTTCCTTGCAGGGGCTGTGGCCACCTCCAGCCCCTCCCTGTCTCCACCCCTGAGCTCAAGAACTGTTTGGCACGGTTATAGCACGTCTCCAGGGTCCTTCTCTTCAAGCCAAGAGGACCCCTCTCTGAATTGGCTCTCAATAACCGGATCTCCTTATCATCCCCGCCGGCAACCACTAAATCCATGTCACCCTAACAAATCACAGCCACCAAGGGATGGGATGATAATTGATGATGAATATGAATTCCTGGCAAAGGTTTGGAAGTGGGATGGGGCAGATGGAGATGACTCATGAGACTCATCTTCACGTCGTAGCTCCCAGGCCGGCATCTCCACTGCGTCTAGATCCGACTCCATCATTGCATCGAATTCCCTGAGCCGGCGTGTGTCTCTATGTCAACATAGTCAACATAGTTGACCGACCCCAGCTACAGGCCGGCCGGCTAGCCTTCATCACTCGACGGAAAGGCTCCAGGCTGGTCACCTGCGAGAGGGCTATGGTGCAGATTGGTGGTCTTTATTTCAGGGTATTTTGGGGGATTTTGAGAATTTGTTGTCATTATTATTAGCCATAAACAGGCCCGGTCCTGACAAATCGGAGGCCCTGTTCAAAATAAAAATCATAGGCCCTAATATTTAATATAACCAAGTACTAATAAAAATAAAATAAAAGGTAATGTTGAAAGCATAAAGCCAATTGGTTTAGTCTCTTTTGTTATAATTTTTTCTAAAGGCTCTTTCTTAGATAGAATCAACTCTTAGATTCTTTTTTTCTTATTACTTCTTGCATATCCGGAATCATATTTTCTGTTTCTAGAAGGCAATATAAATTTCTAACCTACCTATAATTTACTCCTTATAAGATACCAGAGAATCCAAAATTAAAAATTAAAAGATAATATAATCAATTAAAGGAAATATCAGAACACAAACACTTGAAACCGGTGAAAGTATGAAAGCAGTGAAACAGAAATGTCTCCTTGAAAATTGATTTGTCGCTTCGATTCTCTAGCCGTTTAAGGGGCTGTTTGGTAACAGCTGCATTGGCTGGAATGACTTAAAAGCCTGAAAAGACTGCACTTGCTGAAATGAAAGTGTTTGGTAATATGTTAACTGAAATGGCTGATTCAGTGTAAAATTACTATAAAGGATAATTGAGATTTTAACAATTTTATATATATGGAGAAGTAATTACGATCCTAGCATTGCAACCTTTTCAATTCAATAACACCACACCAGTTGATTTACAGTTAATTAAGGATTAGAAAATACTTGGTAAAGACTTGAGTCTACGAACATTAAAAATATGGAAAAGTCATGGAACATTATTGCACTTAAAAATATTTAGCAAAAACTTGTCTCCGAACATTAAAAATACGGAGAAGAAGTCTGTGAACATTAGCACTTCAATCTCGAAGGACAAAACAATGGAAGGAAAATATAGTGCAGCCTTCTGGAACTCTGGAAGTGGTTCTGGACATCCATCTGGAAGGAAAAACAATTGCAAAGCAACGAGATGTATTCCGCGTAAAAGGGTAAATGAGTGTTTCTTGTGTCCAACAGTGAATTAATATATTTCAACTCAAAAAGTAACTATACTCTTACTTTTTTGGCTGATAAGAAATTTCAGCCCAACCAACCAATTTGCCATGTGTTTGGCTATATTTCTAAATTTTCAGGCTTATCAGCTCATATTTGGGGTTCCAAACAGCCTCTAAGTCTCCAAAAAATCACTGAAGGCTATCCATCCGTGTAAGCGATTAAGAGACGTCGGATGAGGAACAATGAGGCGCAGGCTTTCTCCAATAGGGCTAGATTTCAGATATTTTTTTGCTAATGGGCCTAGGTATACTACTAGGCTAATAAAAAATGGTGGCCCTCCCAAAATTGGAGGCCCTCTGCAGTTGCACCAATTGCACCTGGGCCGGGCCGGGTCTGGCCATAAAGTTGGAGGTATTTACAAGTTTACCTAGAAGCTATTAGAAGCTGGGTACTCTAGCTTTTAGATTTTGACTTTAAAGCACTTTTTTAAGCCAAAGTTGAAATTAGCAAACACTTATTTTGCTTTTTTAAAGCAAACAAAAACACTGCTGGAGTAGCGGTCTTTTGAAATTCATTTCGAATAGTATCAGTTAACATGGGAACAAGGAACGTGTATGGTAATATGGATAGAGGAAACGATTGACCGCATTATAGTGTTTGAGCCTGTGAGGGTTGGCTTGACATGTTCCAAGGAGCAAAAGCTTGCTCTTAAGAAGGGCCGACTAGTGACCATCTGATGCTCTTCATTCTGATTTGTTTTAGTGCATAAAGGCGCAAGATAAGGTTTTTCAAATTAAAAAATGTTGGGTAAGGGAGGCTAACTGTGGAGGAGTGGCTTCTAGGAGCTAGGGAGTGAACGCTCAAAACACCTATAAGAGGGGGAGGAGTTTTAAAATAGGGTCCATGCTAGAATAGGCCTTTCTGACCTAGAGGTCGTGAGGTTCTAGAGAGTCAGAATGAGTCTCAAGAGAAGTGCTAAAAGCTGAGAACAAAATGATGATAAGAATAACCATATACAAGAATTAATACTCTCTCCGTCCCATAATTATCTTCATTCTTTCCTTTTTGGTCCGTCCCAAATTTATCTCCTCTTTCCCTTTTTAGCAAAGGATTTGTGGTTCACAATCATTCTTACACATTTCTCTCTCCTCTGCACAACTCTCCACCACACATTTCCCACTTTCTTAATATGTGTGCCAATTCAAAAGAGGAGTTATTTATGGGACGGAGGTAGTATTAGGAAAAATTGATAGGAATAATCTCAACTATTGGTGGTCCGCCCATAATAATCCCAACTATCGATTATTTTAGAATAATCCCAATTTTAGGGACCTTCCGCCAATAGTGGTCCATATAAATAAATTCATGTAGTTTCTAAAGTGGATGAGGAGTGATATAACAAGTAATCCCTATACATAATCTGAACTTTTAATTTTTACACTTAATTTCTATTTAAAATTCACTTTTTATAGGAGGTAATATATGACCATGGACCATTATTGACGGACGATCCATATAGTTGGGATTATACAAAAATAATCAATAGTTGGGATTATTATCAGCGGACCGGCAATAGTTGGGATTATTATTTTCAATTTTTCCTTAATATTATACATACTGGGGCGTTCAGAGTTACTGGATTCGATAGGTTGCTGAAAGAGCATATGGGAGTTAGGCTTTCCATTTTTCCAAAAATATTCATTAGATGGTGAATACTCTCTGATTTATTTGTAAATTTATTGGTCTTGATTGCATCCCAGCTTCAAATTTTCCTCTTATCTGGATTCATACTCAACCCTCCAACAAAATGTAGGAAGAATTGGTATAAAAAAATTAGTTTGAGAATGTAATAGCTTGTTACACGGTCTTGCCTTGCTGGCTCCTACCATTACTTTTCTGTTGCTTGTTTGCTTACTCAAGCAAAATAGAAGTACATAGTTCATTTCTAAAAAATTGGAATAAAGAGGAAGACCAGAGGTAAACAATAGTTTCGTTTTCTCTATAGGTCACATGTGTTCTTTTCATTACGAGAGTGACGTATGCTCAAGTACGTGAAAATGTCACACAAATAACATATTGTGTTAGAATTTGTTACACCATTGCATGCAATGTCGTTATGTCGATGAAGTGGATCAAGTATGTAAATTATAGTGCAAATTACCCGTATAGTCTACTTTTGGGTACCAAATATCGTTTATCGCTCAACTAATCTTTCTTTTCATTTTTAACTCTTCTTTTCAATATTGGTTTTTTATTTCATTTTTAGGCTATTTCACCGATCCCTCCCCAAATAGTGTAATATCATGAGAGAGATGTAGATGAGAGCAATTTTCCGAGACGCAGAGGAGAGCGATGGAGATACGCTGAATAGATTTCCAATCGATGTTTCTCAAACCTGGGAGAGCGACGGAGAGACGCGGAAGAGATTTATGATCGGTGTTTTTCAAATCTGGGAGAACGACAGAGAGACTTCCAACTCTCATCTCAAGGAAGGTCCCATAGCCGGAATTAAGCATGACCGAAAAAGTGTGTTCGGATTCCTTGTTTCAGCATCGCCAGGCAGCCATGCTATCCATTTGTTGGTCTCCAGGCTGGAAACAAAGAGAAGAGTAGTCGATTTTGGACAATAAGATTAAAGTCTCTTAAATCCAATTCATTGCCTTCATCAACCTCGGTGTTATAATTCTCCATTGATAGAGCTTCTTCGTGCCTTTAGTCGATTTCTCCACTTTCATGATTAATTTTTTTTATTGTTTTTCATTTTAGTAATCCTTCTAGAATTACAATCAATAAATAAGGGCAGCGATACAACGATACTCTATTTCATTCTTTTCCATTTGCTTTTAGATTTCTCTAGATGAAAAGCATCCTGGATGTTACCATTCATCCTGAATGAATAAATGCGTATCTCAATCTAACAGGCTTATTGTTTACTACCACATATATCAGATTATTATGATGTTAGGTATTGATGCAAAGAAGCTAATGCTTGCTCTAACTGTTGGTCACTGATGACTGATGAGAGTTTATGATGAAGTCTCTGGAGTCCATTTGTAAACCTATTATCGGCACTTCCAACTTGCCAAGTGCCAACTTAATGGGGATCAAGGTCCAAAAAAACTCAATCAGGTTCGTTATGTTGTATTACTTTGCTGATATTGCACATCTAAAAGCAGTAACATCAAAGTCTATTGCCATCTATGTTATTTAGAGGAGATAAGGTCTAGCACCAAGTGGAGCCTTAGTTTTTTTATGTTTGATTAGGCAGTGTTAATTTCTTTAACGAAAACAAAAGAGTGAGATTAGGGAGTGCTTATTTTTGATTGTTTTGTTTTCCAAGTGCACTGGATTGTGGTCAATAGTGGAATATGGACTTATGTGTTTGTAGATTAATTTGTGATTTCCACAAGGTGAATAATTTTTGTTCGACGTGAATATCAATAAAACTTTCCTTCCCACGTTTACTTTTCTATAATAAAACCATCTCACATTACAAACAGTTTCTTTGAGGTGGACATAATGCTAAGGTAGTTTGGGAGGTTTTATGTCAACTAAATGAGGAAGGGGGCTATGGATGATGGCATGTCAGACTTGTTAAAATCTCTTAGGAACATCCATTTAAAGAAAGATATCATTTGGATCAAATAGATACACACTATCTATCTAAAGGGTGTTTCAATTGGGATTGGACATCGCCCTCTGTGGTGTCCTCTTTGTTTAACAGCTTGGTCAAAATCACAAAAGAGTTGTTTTTCTTGGCATGTGGGCAGCATTATATGATTTATTAGGAAAACTGAATAGTTTTGGTTTCCCAGATAAGCCTTCTGCTATCAGGATTTATAATTTTGTGAGGACCAAATTTACTATTAATTAAGCCAAGGATGACCCTAATCTGGAAAAGATATTGATGGGTTCACATTCATAAACCATGATTAAATAGATTACAGATGAGTCCTGCATGCGCTTGGTCGAGGTCACTGGGCATTTGAGAGTGAGCACTGGACAATTACTATGTTTAGTCTTATAATTTTACTCATTTACATAAAAAAATAAAGGTGAATAATTTATGCTCTTCATCCCTTCTCCTGATGTTTAGCCTTTGTATTCTTTAATTCCTTGTACGTAGTGAATAAGCTATCGGTCTTGTTTGATTTTTTTTTTGCTCGATTTACATATTGGAAGCCGTTGGTTAAAAATGCATAGCTCCTTCTTGGCCCAGAAAACAAGACATGACGATGTGAAGGGAAGTAGCAGTTTTCATCCAAAAAAGTGAAGGGAAGTAGCAGTTTTCATCCAACTGAAGTAGCAGTTGGCTGTTCAGAAAATACTATGGAAATAGAAAATTATGGCTTAGTTTATTGTTGTATATCCTATGAGGTTCTTTACATCCTCTCATTTCTTTTGGGATAGAATGGAATTGAATGTTTGAATGGCATTCTTATCAACTTAGCAATGAAAAGCTGGCCTGACTTCTCATTGCTTTCTTGGCTTCTCTTTGCTTCTATTTCATTGTTGCTATTTGTGTGTATTTCATTGCATATCATTTATGTAACCTAATAATTTATTTTTCAATTAGATAAATGTAGTAAGTTGCAACAATAGATTGAATTGAATACTTATTGTGATACCCTTGTATATTATTTTTTGTTTCTTTTTGTTGTATCATGTGTATTGCATTTTGTTGCATATTGTTGTTTTTTGTTGCATCTTGTTACTTTTTGTTGCAGTGTGTTTCTTATGATTGTTTATTGTTGATTCTGATTTTTGTATTTTATTTAAATAGCTATTATTTTCCTACATCTTTAAAATAGAAATATCTATATAGGTTTAGTGTAAATCAATTAGATACAGACACCTAAAAAGTTAAATTTTGATTTATGAATATGAAAAGCAACATGATACATAAAGAAACAATGCAAAAAAAAAAAAATTCATTATTATCAACAAAAAGAAATACAAGGAAATCATAAGAAACAAAAACTAACAATAAAGTAATAATACTAATAATTAAAATTTTTACTTTAAGAAAAATTACAATAGAGAATTGGTATTTTACTTTCTCTTGAATATGTAATTATTTTTCAAGTTCATCATATTTAAATTTCAAATTTTAATTCTATGAGTATATTTTATTTTTAAATACTTTTAAGTGACATTAATTTTCTGATTTTTATTACTTATTTTATACAGAGTATATTTTACTAGAAAAAATTATTTAATGTATTTTCAACTATTTAAATTTTAATTTTAATATTTTTTTATTTTCTCGGATTTTAAAGATTTAAATTATTTAATGTATTTTCAACTATTAAAATTTTAATTTTAATTTTTTTTATTTTCTCGAATTTTAAAGATTTATATATTTCTTTGAATTTTAATTTTTTTTTGTTTTTATTCTACAAATTTTACTCGTTCTAATTTTTAAAACTATTTTCCTGTTTTTAATATTTTAAATTTTTTATTTAATTTATAGAAAGTTTAGGATTCTAATTTTAAATTTTAATTTTTTTTTCTTCATTTTTTGAAAAAAATTATATTTTTTAATTTTTATACTTTTATATTTATATATTTCCCTTTATTTATTCAATATAAATTTCATTTTAACATAATTTATTTAATTTTGAATATCTTTTTACGATACTTATTAGTCTCTCATAATTTCCAGAATTTATAAATGTGCTTTAGTTATTTATGTTTTTAATATTTTTATATTATATCTGCATTTGTATTGTCTAATATATTTATTTATTTTAATTTTATAGTACAATCATAATATACTCCATGTGAAGTTTGCACTTTACTGAGTTTCTATACTTCTTCCTATAGTCGTTCCGTACAGCCGTTTGGACGTTTCCCCCCATTAACATGGATAACTATTGAATGTCTATTAGTGAAAGGAAACCCGTTCCTAGTCTGTTTTTGAAAGAAAAGTTGAAACATGAAAAAGGTGATATTAATTTCCCTCTTTGGTCTTCTTCCGTAAAATTCCCTAAATTATATCGTTCGCAACATTTTTATTTTGAAAGAGCAATATATTTATCTATAAAATGTAAAAGAAATTGAAAACACTTCCTGTGGAACATTTTGAAAAAAATGACATTATATCAAACACCTTAAAAAATAATTAAACTTTTAAAAATAATGAAATGAATGTAAAATTGCATAAGAACAACAATTTAACAAATCGATAAAAATGCAAGAGTTGCACACATGATACTATAAGCCATGAAGAGTGACACAAAATCTTTATTTTTTTTTGCTGACACAAAAACCTTATTAAGAGACATGAAAATTCTGTTTTTAGATCCAGGGAGAATATGGTAAACACATTTTCAAAATAGGAAATGAAATGAAGAACATAAGATATATATAATATATCAACTCAATTGGGACGAGACTATAATATACAAAAGTACAAAAAGATGAAATTACCCCAAGTAGCCGTAAGAGTAAACATGATCAACACAAAAATATGACTAAATGTTTAAATCGTAAAATAGGAGTAAGATGTATCATCTTACATAAATACATTAAAATGATAACTCGGTTGTGGATGATAAATACATACACGTATTTCGTTATGAAAAACACATTAATAATAATTCTAGGATCTCAAAGTCGATCTTTGGTGCACTCTGATAGTAATCGAGAATTCGGTAGTCCACCCTAGTACTCTACACTAGTAGGAACACTAGTAATACAACCTTGAGACATATCCATGATGATGCTGATATACTTACCTAATGTCTTTTTCTAGTTAAGGTCTTCTAATTAATTAAGTTATTAAGGTTTGCCAAAGAACTTCTCATGGTACTCTATCATATGCCCTTATTAAGTTAATGAACACTAAATGCAAATCTTTGTTAATGTATCTATAATTTTACAAGTTGCTTAATAAGGTAAATTAATGACATCACTTCATAATTTTATGTAATGCTTCAACAGTTCAACCGGCTATATTATTCAAATTTCCAACCGAAAATTCCTACGAGATGACCAGGATTCCATGCAATTTGGGTGTATTAATACTCCCTTAAATCTTATTAAAATAAATGTATGAATTGTTCTAACAAAGAATGACACATATATAAGTATAACACTTTGTGATGACAAAAGGTATGACTAGTTTTCCTTCAAAGAAATGAGTAAAACTAACTGGTTTTTTCATGACCCAAATCTATTCAAAATTCTTCTCCATCCCAATTCCAATGCCAACTCAATCCCCCCCCCCCTTGCTAGTTGCTACCCTCTGCCCTCAGCCACTCCTGGGAGAAAGGTTCATATTTTCCCCTAAATAGATTGTTGGAAATCAATGGAAAATGTCCATAGATTTTGTAGTTGTCAGGTGCGTATACAAAGGCGGCAGGGGGTCAGTTGTCCCCCACAACCAATTCCCGAGGATGATGGAATGCTACACAAATGACAACAAAAGACCGTTAATCCCGCAAATGGGATAGTATACTTTTTGTAGCATAAATTACTCTTCAATGTGAAAAGTAAAACACTGGTAGCTTGTAACTTAAATGTGGTTAGATTACCCAATGTCACTTCCCACCGGTAGCAGATTTAGAATTCAAGTTTTGGGAGTTCAATTCTTTTATACAACTAGAAATTTTAAGAGTAATAAATAATCATGTTAAATTTACACATGGATACCTACATGTTTTTCAAATAACAGGGTGTTCATGTGAACACTTTAGAACCAATGTGGCTCCGCCACTGCTTCCCACACATGTTTTCGAGCATCAAATGAAAATCAAAGAACCCTTAATCACAAAATAAAACTTTTGAGTTAACATCAATTTTCTTACAAAACAAGTGCTTAGAATTCAGAGTAGCAGATACACAAACAGAACCTGTGGAGTTAAATTCACCTGATAAACTACTGCAGTTATTCACGGAATAGAGCAGCCTAGCTACATTTGGGGTCCCCGAAGACAATTTTTGCTTTTGGAGACGCACGAGGGAAGGAGGTCATATCCCTTGTCATTTTGAAAGCCACAGAGGCATCAATGCCTACCGATTCCATAATAAAAACTTCTTCAAGGACAGGAGACTTTGAAAGGATTGCTTCGATAAAAAGCATTTCTCCTCTTAATCCTCTGAACTCTTTCATCTTCACCGTTTTAAGCTTGCGCAGATCTTGATCATTAAACAAACTTTCTGGATCTTTCAAACTAGTTGGATCAGGGCATTGAAATTCTCTGCCATATATCATACAATGCTACAACACAACAATGTAAGAAGAAAATATTAAAACATAAATTATATGGATATTAGTCACCAAATGTGTAGGGTAAATGTTGGATATTCAACCCTATATTCCATCAAATTTATTTCCAGTTTGTGTAGCTTGGGGCATTTCCGGAGCAATTGAATAACAAGAGTGATGCACTTCGTGTGAGCAAAACTGAAATTAGTCAACTTAATCACTTGCAAATTTGTAGCAATGGGGAACCTCTCTTGCACATTTATTGCAGCAGTAGCTTTGTTCTTTATTACAAATTCAAAGACAAAACAAAAAACAAAACAAATTCAGTAGATAACCTTGTATGAAACAAGAACTTTAACAAGATAAGGAAAAAATCTGACCAGTCACCACTATTCATTCTATATGAAGCAAGAATTTATTTAAGGCAAGATGCTCACATATAATGGACACACAGAAAAACGGAGAGTCTCAATCACTGGAAAGTGAAGCTCAAAGAATTTCCATTCAGCCACGATCCTAGTAGCAAAGCTCAAACATTTAAGTTTAGGAGCACTGATCACAAAATGATTTATCCCATCACAATCAAAAAACACCAGTATCTCAAGATGAGGAATACTCGGGAGAATTCCAGTATCATTGGGCTTAAACTCCATAAAATGGAACTTTAGAGAAGTGACCCCATAAAACATACTAGCAGGTTGAGTATTAACAGGCCAACAAAAATACATATAACCAAGTTGCAGTTGTTTAATTGTTGGGCAGGAAATTACACAAACAGGCACTGTGTAGTACTCTCCTGTGTCTCCATCAGCATCAATAGAGAGGTGAAGTTTCTCAATACCATTTCTTGATAAAAAACGACACAAGACATCTATATCAGACTGCTTCAGAGCAGGTTCCAATTTGGAAATCGCCAGGGTGAATTTCTTAATTGGTCCAGAACGGAGCAACAGAACATTAGTTATCATTTTCAAACATATATTGCCCCCTAAAAGATTTCCCAAATCCAAATCAAAAACAAGCCGACCATGCCTTAGCCAAACGTCATTCCACTGTTTTGACAGAACGGCAGTTCTTGCCACTTCTCGAGTGTTTAGACACTCTAAGATTCTGTGCTTTATATCTTCTGGCAGTTGACTTATCAGATCCGAAGCAGTGTTGCTTCGAAGGCGAGGATGACTAGCCATTCGACCTAAAACAGCTCGTAAGCATGTAGAGTAAGAAACTCCGGAATTGAGAATTTCGAGCTGAGGTAAAACTAGCTCGCTCGGTATAGATTCCCGGACTTAGCAGCTTCACACACTATCCGCCATCCGGTGTGCACTTTCATGATAAAGGCAGTGTATACAGTGTACTTGACGGACCGTATTTTCCAGAGGGAAGCAAAAAGCCGATAGAGTCATGTTCGTCAACCCTTTTTGCATATGAAAGATGTTTTTTTTATTGAAATAGTCATTCAATTTGAGTTTTTTTGGAGTTCACGAGAATCAATTTTAGATATGGGAAAATAATAAAAATACCCCAAACTTTGAAGGGGTGCAAGGTAAATACCCTAAACTTGCATTTGTAATTTAAATACCTCAAACTTTATATAAAATGTTATTTTCACACAATTTTCATGTATTATTTCTTTCAAAAATGTAAATTTATGGCGTTAATTGTATAATTTAAAATAGAAAAGTAAACGTGTTGCAATTATATAGATTGGGGGTAATGTTATTTAATTCGCATTGGACGTTAAGAATACTAATTGTGCCTTCATGAATTCTAAAATATGGTAAATTATGCAATTAACACCATAAATTTACATTTTTTCAAGAAAGGGTTTTTACAAGAATATTACTAAAATAAAACTTACTTACATAAATATGACTATTCATTACTACAACGTAGTGTTGTGGTAACTTAAGTTCAACACTTGAACATGAATTGCTATGATTTCATTACTACTCTAGTAATTAATCATATTTTTGTAAATCATCTTTATTTTGATCATATTTATGTAATTATTTCAAGAAATAATACTTGATTATGGTGCTAAAATAACTTTTTATTTAAAGTTTAACGAATTTAAATTACATATACAAGTTTGGACTGTTCTTTTCACACCCCTTCATATAGGTGCCGTTTGGATAATAGCGGACGGAGCAAACCGCCAATGAATTATAAGAGCAAAACGCTGCAAATTTCAGCGGATTGCTACTCACCCGCCGAAAAACGAACGAAGCCATAATGTAAACTCTAAAATATAAATATAAATAAATAGAGTATTATTCAGGTCCGGCCAGGCCGGACCACTCCCCTGTCCGGCCACCTCAATTTGAGGTGGTTCCCGGTGGCATTTTTTGCCCAAATTGTTTTGTAGGTTCCTCATCAAGTCTAGTTCATTCATACCAAATTTGAGCAAAAAATTCAATCGGGAAAGTCGTCAAATAATTTTTGCAAGTTCACTGCGTTTTATATGTATATTCCGGACCAGTTAACTTGCAAAAATCATTTGACGACCTTCCCGGTTGATTTTTTTGCTCAAATTCAGTATGAATGAACTAGACTTGATGAGGAACATACACAAAAAATTTGGACAAAAAATACCATCGAGAACCACCTCAAATTGAGGTGGCTGGACAGGAAAAGGACTCATAAATATACTCCGCAAATTAAAAAAGATGATATGAAGAATGAGAAGTGAGGATTTAGGGGTAATGCAGCTTACAAATGGTCAAAACTACGTGCTCCGTAGGGGTGTTCGTCGGTTCGGTTTTTGCGGTTTCGGTTTTATCGGTTCGGTTTTAGTCGGTTTCGGTTTTTAGTCGGTCGGTTTTGATCGGTTTCGGTTTTTAGTCAGTCGGTTTCGGTCGGTTTGTGTAATTTCCTGCCCAACAATTAAACAACTGCAACTTGGTTATATGTATTTTTGTTGGCCTGTTAATACTCAACCTGCTAGTATGTTTTATGGGGTCACTTCTCTAAAGTTCCATTTTATGGAGTTTAAGCCCAATGATACTGGAATTCTCCCGAGTATTCCTCATCTTGAGATACTGGTGTTTTTTGATTGTGATGGGATAAATCATTTTGTGATCAGTGCTCCTAAACTTAAATGTTTGAGCTTTGCTACTAGGATCGTGGCTGAATGGAAATTCTTTGAGCTTCACTTTCCAGTGATTGAGACTCTCCGTTTTTCTGTGTGTCCATTATATGTGAGCATCTTGCCTTAAATAAATTCTTGCTTCATATAGAATGAATAGTGGTGACTGGTCAGATTTTTTCCTTATCTTGTTAAAGTTCTTGTTTCATACAAGGTTATCTACTGAATTTGTTTTGTTTTTTGTTTTGTCTTTGAATTTGGAAAGAGATAATACGTGACTATGGTGCTAAAATTCCAATAACTTTTTATAAAAAGTTCAGGGTATTTAAATTACATATGCAACTTTGGGGTGTTTATTTCACACCCATTCAAAGTTTGGGGTATTTTAATTATTTTCCCCTACAATTATTAGTGTATCTCATGAAACTTTTGTTGGTGTACTTTCTTTATAGATACTCTCTCTCTCTCTCTCTCTCTCCATATTTTAATGTTTGATACACTTTATTTGGATGTATTTATATTAAAGTTTGCAACACTTTTCTTTTTGGTAAGTTGCTCTTAGAAATACTCAATCACTCTTGATTTTTTACTTGTTATATTTTATTTCATACTTTGACACATTATCTCCTACTTTTTCTACACTATCCATTGCCCCCATTACATTCCTTCTTAAATAATGTTTTGAAGTCATATGTAGCCATTTTTTAAATACGGAGGGAGTATATTATCATTGTTGTCGATTGCTAATTACTGCTTCTGCTAGTGAATTGTTGCTCTCCGTTTTGTACAGTCTAGGATGTTAGCGTTTAATATAACATATACTTCCTCTGCTCCTTAAAATTTTGTCATTTTTGACCGGCACATAAAGTAAAAACTATGTGGTTGAAGTTTGTGCAGAGGAGATAGCTGGATATAACATGAACCACAAATTAATTGAGTAAAAGGGGATTGATAAAGTATTTGAGACAACCCTAAAATAAAAGATGACAAAAATTTAAGGAACGGGGAAAATACTATATATGCAAGAAAATACAGCAAAAAAAAAGTTTCCTGAGACCCACTAATAATTGTACTATCAAGTTATTTCATTGTCATATAGAGTTATTATAGTATAGTCTCATAGTCTTTTAAGTGCAAAATTTGAACATAAGTTGTTATAATTACGTTACTATAAATTGTAGTTACTACACTTAGAGGTCACATTTTTATAAGCTTCATTTATTGTAGTCACATATATGTAATTGTTTCTTTCTTTTATGTCCATTACAATGAGAATCATCAAATATTATTATATTTCCAATTTTGGCCTGAGAGTTAGACCTATGTTTAATTTCTTTTTATGACATTGGCATTTGCTTTTCATTTTATTTGTGATAAAATTCATCCGTGACATTACAAGGAAGTTTTGTAAAAATAGATTTACCTATTAAATTCAAAATAGATGTACTATTTCTTCCGCTAAATGAAATCTAATACTCCCTCCGTCCCGCTATGATTGTTCCATTTTACCTTTTTGGTCAGTCCCACTAATATTGTCTCATACCTTATTTGGTAAAATTTGTATGATTCTATATCATTCCTACTTTATTCTTACTTTATTAATTCAATATCAATCACATAAATTCATTTTTATTAATAAACGTGTCACATTCTCTTGTATCCCAAACTTAGGGGACGGAGGTAGTAACTGTTATTTTGAAATCATATTAGTATTTTTTGGCATTATCACACATAATATGAGAGTATTAATGTTATAATTGACAGTTTTTTAAATGCATTACACTAATTACTCCAATCTATGGAGAAAATATAGTAAGAATAAAATGGGTATGTTAATAATGGATTTTCAGGTTGACTCATTATTAAATATATATTTTCAGATTCAATATATTAGGATATTATGAATTTATGGTATGAATAAAATGGGTACGGAGTATTTAATTTCCTTGTTGGGATATCAAGTGATTTCTATCTCTGCATGCTCTTTAAAATAAATTTGACCTCACAAACTTTGGTGAAAGTTAATTAAAGTAAACTATGTACCATGGAATAAAAGATCAAAATATAGTAATGATATTACATTCAAATTGAATGTAAAAAAGGAATGTTAGACATTGATACATAGCAATTAATAATTGTATTTTCGGGCGGGGATTTTCCCTCCAATAATAGTAGCAACTTTGTTACTTTATATTATATAAAGATGGAATGCCAAACGATTGTTCGGAAAAATTATAAAGTGTGTTTTCACTTCTTTCTTGATGGAATATTATACTGATTGATGCACTTGTATAATACTTCATATGTTGATATCATAGTTCAAAAAATTGGTCTAGTCGGTCCAATCAATCAACGACTAGGCGCTAGGTGGTCCCTAATTGTGGAGGATTAATTAGCTAGTCGGTCAAAAAAAATTGGCCTAGATGACGCCTAGTCGGTGCCAAGGGTCTCCCAATCGCCCGACTAACATGTAGTGAGTTTTAGAACAGAGTGATATATGTATGATTGGTTTTCCTTGAAAGTTTTTGTGATTATATTCTATAATCTATTGTTTCTATTTATATATAAGAAAACAAATGGCTCTACTAAATACCATTTTGCCCCTACTTATGCATACGTGTTGCTCATTCCTGTTTTCTCTCCTTTCTTATTCTGATGCCACGTGGCTTCTTCTTTCTAATTTTTAAAGTTGCTATGCTCACAAATCATCAACAAAGAGCGCTGATTCATCTCCCAAAAAAAGAACGCTCCCAATTTCCATCTTTATCTTCTGCGCAAGATTTCAACGCCCAGCGATTTCAGCGCCCAGCGATTTCTATGCCCTGCGATTTCACGCTGATTGCTTACCTTTAGAACTCTCCATCTCTAATCGTTTCCGATAATATAGCGCCCGCCTCTTCACTGAAACTAGGAAACCCTCAAATTACACCACCACTATATATAAATGTGGATCGACATTAGGGCTTCATACTTTCACTGCCCCAGTGCCAGAGGTACTATCCCTATCTAATTCTTCATTTCTCCAATTCTCCGTTCTGTAATCTCATACTCTACTATGTAATATCATCGCCTTTGTTTATATTTTGCACATTTGTTGTTCGAAGTAGCAGAGGTAGTCTCTAATTGTTCATTTGATCATAAATAACTATTCAACAATTCTCATAAATTAGGGACATAAGATTCAGGCGATTGCAAGAAATGCTGAGGTGGTAACGTGCAAGTCGAAGATCAAAGAAAAGGAAACATATGTGATGCAAAACTTCAGTATACTGTGCAATGATGGACAGTTTAAGGCATGTGATCACCCATTCAAGCTCCAATTTACAGGTGGTACAAGTGTGAAACATCAAGAACTGCCTGACATTCCTAGAGATTACTATACCTTTAAAAAGTTCAGTGATATTTTAAGTGGTAATCTCCGTACTGATGTTTTGGTTGGTAAGTTTTCATCCCAAATTACACGACTACGATTTTTCCCACCTCATAATAACTACGTAAACATAACTATCTCAATGCCACACTTCCATGTCTGTTTGACTAAATAGATATAATTGGAGCTTTCTGTGAAATTGTGCGTTCTGACATCAGTTCTCCGCTGAAAAAAGTATCATTTTTGATGAAAGATCTAAGGTGATGACATTTACTTTCATTATTTTTCCTACTGTATTGCGTATCTCTACAGTTTTGAAATCATTTTTCATTAATTAATTAAAATATTATGTTGTAATGCAGTGGTGATATAATGACATGTACTTTATGGGAAGATTATGCTTCAAAGTTCTTGGAGTTACATGACAAGCATAAATTTGAGTTAATTGTTGTCATATTGACGCAAGCGAAAATCAAAGAACCAGAAGGTAAACTTGATTTTTTTATTATGGTACTCATACATGAATAGAAAATTTTCACATATATATGCTTAATAAATATGTTATGATTTATATGCTTTTTTGAAATGTTAGGAATACATCCCACATACATCCAAAATAGTAAGTACGGATCCAAGTTGCTTATTAATGAGGACATTGTGGACATTCAGAAATTCAAAGACAGGTTCAGTTGCCTATGAGTGTTATCACAATTATGATTTTGTAGTTCACATACTTCGTTTATTACTATTTTCATTGTTAAATATGTAATCCACATTTCGAATAATAACAGCTATTGCTCGGGACAAGTGAGTGAAGCACCCAGTCAAAGTCACAATCAAATTTCAAATTCCAAGTTCACAGAGCAAGACAAGCTGATATATCGAGCCAGTGTTATGAGTATTTCAGATATCAATTGCCTTACAGAGGTTTAAATAAATCTCAATAAATCTCAATTAGTTTAGAAATATCAGTACACCAATAATATAACATTATATTTTGAGCATCAATATTTTCTAGAAATTTGGCTTTTATTCTTTTCTAACATTATATCTCATAATATTATCTAGGAAACTACGTGTGTCACGGTCGGCACAATTGTGAAGTTTATAGTTGGAAAAAGTGGGTGGAGCTATGAGGCTTGCTCTGGGTGCACTAAAAAAGCTGAGGCGCACAGTAATTCCTTCACATGCAAATGTGGAAAATTCAATGACAAGTCTATTCTAAGGTTTGTTATCTGCTACCTTTTATGCCGAAAGATACTATATATATTATGAGTGAACAGTACTAATGTCTTATTTCCTTAATAGGTATAGATTAGAAGTCATGGTCTATAATAAAAAAGACTGCACTAAATTTGTGTTGTGGGATCAAGAGTGTATCCAGATCATCAGGAAGACAGCCAATGAGCTTAAAATTGAAATGCTGCAAGTATGAAATCATTATTACCTCTTTTGAAAATTTGAAATTTTATAACCAGATGTTATAAGTTTTTCCTATATTTAACATATCACTTATAAAGGAAGGGGAAGATGATCCACTATCTTATCCGGAAGCACTTGATGAGTTGCTGGGAAGGACTATGGCATTTAGAGTGAAGATGCAACCAACATACAGTTCTGCATCAGTACTTAAAGTGTCTGAGGATGCAGGGATCATAAAGTTCATAACAGAGCAACTTGATACGTGTGAGGTATATGTCACCTGAAATTATTTTACTTTTCTAACTTTATTTAATAATGTATTAACATCAGAAAATTTTAAATGCATCTTTTTAACCACGTTTTTCCATTCCTTTAAATGCATTTTTTCTGTTTTAGCCATTTTGTTTTATTATTAT